TGTTACACAAAGGTAGAACCACAATCCTGGGGTGGTGGTGGGGAAAGGATTTGGGATAGTGGGAAGGGAACTCACCAGACACATAGCCAGGATCTAACATCAGGGAAAAAGTCATCTACTAAACAAGCCAATGTGACGACCTTCTCTGAATGTCTCCCTAGCTGATGTTTCTACCATTGAATGGACTAATTTTCACACGGCTTCCTCTATTAGCAACCATCATGTTATCAATTTTTTTTTAAGTAATGAAAAAGCAGCACTTTTTGAGAATTTGTACAGGAAGAACGTTAACTTTCCCAGTTCCTCCCTACATCCCCCAAAATACATCATTAAGCTGAATCCTACAAACCTGGTAGCTAATGATGGCTAAGGAGAAACGTGACTTGATAGGCGGACTCTAGAAGCTATCTAATATTTTGTCTCAAGTCCTCCTCATCGTTTTTTGCATTGTAATTTCCCTTTGTTCTTCCTTAGTCTTTAGCAGGGGCTGTGTTTTGGAGAATTAAAAGAGGTGACTATATCCACATTTTTATAAAATTAGCACAGGTAAAGCCGAAGAAGTTTAGGGAAGTAGTTCATGGTGTTAAGAAGGGATTAGCAGAAAGTAATGGTAATAGTATATATGGATTGCCTGTTATGTCCCAAACACTAGGCAGTGTACTTTCTATTTCTTTAATTCCCACAGCAATACTATGAGATAGGTATTGTTATTCTCCCTGTTTAATGATGGGGAAAGTGATGATTAGGCAGGATATGATATTTGTCCAGGATCCCAGCAACATGGCAAATACATGGTGGAGCCAGGAGTCAAATCCAGGCGTCTCATGACACAGCCTGTGCTCTGAGGCCCTGTGCTCTTCTGCCAGGAGGTCCACGCAGCAAGCAACAGCCAGGGAAGGTCTGCGGAAAAATTTCCCCAAGAAGTCTCCAAATTACTTAACTGGAGGGACTGAACTTCCTGCTTTCATGCAGCATGGGAACTTGGGTATTAAAGAAGGGGATTGGACTCTTGAAGGCCAGGGAATGCGGATATGTCTGAGCTGAAGATGGCCATGAGAAAAACATCCTCAGCTTCCTCATGTAGCTTACAGTCATCTTTCATTCAACATATATTTGTGAAGAGCAATTTGGGGGAGAAGGAACAGGTGGCCTCATAGGTTCGTACCTAGCAAGTGGACTTAATTGATGTAAAACATATTTTTAACAACCAAATACACAATAATCTAGCTTGTGTATTTCTCAGATTTTGGCTATTATAAGCTGCACCTCCTTGAAGTAAGACAAACAGCCTGGCAAGAACTAGAATTAACCAAATGGGCACCACACGCCCAAAAGCAGAGACGAGATGGTAGGACGGGACAGGAAAGCTGGACAAATGGACACAGAGAACCCAGGATGGAAACAGAAAGGGTGAGAGTGCTGACACATTGTGGGGAGAGCAACCAATGTCATAAAACAATTTGTGTATACATTTTTGAATGAGAAACTAATTTTCTCTGTAAACTTTCACCTAAAACACAACTTAGAAAAGATTTAAGACTTGAAGACCCTATGGGGCAGTTTTACTCTGTCCTGTGGGGTGGCTATGGGTCGAGAGCCTCTTGATGGCAACAGGAACTCCTAGTGAAAGCAGAACAGGGCATTCACCATGCCTTCCCCTGCACAGAAACATTAAGTCAAGTCCTAGGAGAGGAAGCCTGCGATTCGTGAATATGCCATTTGGTGACACCCTGGATTCAGTACTCAAGGCAAAATGTTTCAGCTCACCCCAGATACAGAAAAGAGATACATTCTGTTGTTAGTTGCTGTGGAGGCAATTTTGATTCACAGCGACCCCATTTGTGCAGAGTGGAACTGATCCATAGAGTTTCCAAGGCTGTGACCTTTCAGAAGCAGATCACCAGGCCTGTCTTCTGGGGAAAAAAAAAAAAAAGAAAGGACTAGAATAAAAAATAAATCCTACATCCCATGTGGAGTGACCTAAGATCCAGACACAGGCATGTTAGCATAGATGCAGTGAGTATCTTCCCTCCATCTCTCTGCGCGGTGCAGTGAGTACCTTCCCCTCATCTCTCTGCTCAGTGCAGTGAAGAACTCCCCTACATCTCTCTGTTCAGTGCAGTGAGTAACTTCCCTACATCTCACAGCTAGGTTTAAGTTCCCGAGTTCTATACTATTTCAAAAAGTGGAATCGTGTTGCAAGGTTGCCCTAGGGTTCTGAAGATCCCAAGATCCCCTCATGACCTATCTAAGTTCTTACTGGATGCTGAAATTGATCAACATTTGTGGTACTTCCTGAACTACCAAGGTTAGCCCTGAATAAATTAGATTAGTACACTTATTATTGAGCTCTTACTTTGTGCTAGGCATTTGGATACAGGGGTGAACACCATATGGGTTGTAAGATCCTAGATGCATAGCCCACTGTAGCAGTGGGAGCCTCAGACCAGCCAAGGAGCTCGTTCATGTATATTACAACCATAGCCACTCCTGATAGCTCCTGGTTGCTAATATGAGTTAAGAACAATATTCCAGCATCCCTTATACTTTGTTTTTATTTGTCATTTCTTTAATATTTACCTAAAAATACAGTTTTCACTGTACCCTGCTGAGGGAAATTCTGCGTTCTAAAATCTACAAAACAAGGGGTGTTCTTCAGAATAAAAAAAACAAAAACAAAATACATTGGTAGTAGTTTCCACAAATTCCAGACACTTTTACCCAAAAGAAAACTTTGAAAAAGACTGATTTAAATTTACCTCATTAATATTTGTTCTAGCTGGAAAGTCTTCTGTCGATAGTCTGGCTTCATCTAGTTCTAAAAAGATTGTGTTAATTTAGCCACTGAAACAAATACCTGTTTCAATTAGTCCAACTATCACATTAAATCAGATTCAAATCACGCACACTCAGGACCCGAAATGAGTGGTTGTCTCAATTGATAGGAAGAGGGGTCACTTTTTAAAAAGAGATTAAAGGTTGTCTTATAAAGGCTATCTAACAAAACAGCAGAGTTCGGAAAGTAGAGAGACAAAATTATCTGCAGTCCCACCATCGCAAAGTACTTTTTTATTAATATGTATTAGGAGTGCCAGGAGTCCCTGGGTGGTGGAAATGGTTAAGCACTTTACGAGTAGCTGAAAGGTTGGTGGTTTGAATACTCCCAGAGGCACCTCCGAAGACTGGCCTGATGATCTGCTTCCAAAAGGTCACAGCCTTGAGAACCAGATGGAGCAGTTCTACTCTGCACACACGGGGTCGCCATGAGTCGGAATCAACTCAACAGCAACTAACAACAGCGGTGACATTAAGACTGCCAGGCACTGCGGTGAACAGAGGGAATGCAGAAGAAAGCAGCAAAGTTAAGATCCTTGCCTTCTTGGAGTTTTCATCTAGTGGAGCAGACAGACATGCAAGTACACAAATGCAAAACCTTTCCAACAAAATAAAAGAAAAGTAGGGCTGTGTGCACAGCAGGCTACGTAAGCACACAGGATAGTCATCTGATGCAATTTTGTGTATTTGGGATGCATCAGCAAGGACTCCTTGGAGAAGAAGGTGAGATTTAAAGGATAAGAAGGAGTCAGCCCCATGAAATGAGGAGATGGGGAGAGGAAGATGTTTAGGCTGTTGTAGGCAGAGGTAACAGTAAGTGCAAAGGCTCAGAAGTGAGAGGGCCCAGATAGAGTAGGTGAACCATTGATGGTTTGGTGTGGCTAGGTTTTAGAGAAGGAGGAGATGAGGTGGCTGGAGAAGGAGCAGATGGTGAAAGTCCCAATATCTCCTGTTTATGCTTAATCATGGGTCAGTGTGAACCCATGAGGCAATTTTATTTTGTGTTCTTATGGATTCAAAATTATATAATTGTAATATCATAAAGATACAATTCACTTAAAATTAGCATTATACCATTAATAATTTTACTTGGTATTCAATATTGGTATTTTTCCTTGGCATATATTGTTGGTATTTTTCTAGCTGCTACATGGAAAATTAATTTTTTAAGGCCTATATAACATTCAATTGTGTTGACTGATGTGTTAATTAACCATCCCTTATTAGGCAATTTAATTACTTCTCCTTTTTTTCTTATAAATAATGCTCAATTACCATTTTTATTCTTTTGCTTCATTTCTTCAGGATAAAGATCTAGAAATAAGATTATTTAATAAAGGATACAAACCCTTTTATGGCTTTTGGTATCTTTTAAAAATTTTACTTTGTCAATTTATATTGGTATCAACAAAGTAAGACTATATATCAGTTTCACTACATTTTTTTGTCAATAGGTATTATAATTCTTAAAAAAAAACCCACTAATTAAGTAGACCAAATGTTTAAGTTCTGTTTCTTTAAATATTAGCAATGTTGAGGATTGTTCCACATTTTATTTTTAAATAAAGTTCTCTTTTATGAATTGCCCTTGCTTATCTATTGATTGGTAATAATTTTATTGATACTCAGAATTTAAAAAATTAATTTCTAGCCCTTAAATTTATAAAATTATTTTTTCTTTTGTGAAATGACAGATATTAAATTGTTTTATTATTAGTTATTCCATAAATTAATTTTTCTCTATTCAATTTTTAAATCTCTCTCAAATTTATTTTCCAAATTTTAATCAGTGGCTTAATGGCAGTTATTAAATAATTATTTATGTTATGATTTGCCTTTTATTGTGTGAAATTCTTATAAAGAGAACAGGCTTTATTTCAAGCTTATCCACTCAGTTCCGATGATTTACATGTCTGTTGTTCAGATAGCACGTTGCTATTTTCAATATCACTGCTATATAAAATATTTTAGTTGTTTGAAAAATCTTGTAATTCCTTTATTAATCCTTAAAAATATTATTTTGACAATTATGCATGGTCTTTTAGATGAAACATAGAATAATTTCTAACTAAAGGCTAGATACTCTCAGTCAGAACACAGCCACAGATGCAAATGGCAGTTCCAAGCGCCCTTCCGTATTCCAGGCAGAATGCATGCAGCAGTGTCCAAATGCGCATGTTTTTACATGTATTTTATGAAGGGAAAGGAAGTTTCCAAAATTGTTCAAAGAAACAAAACTCACCTAATGATTGCGATGCAAGAGAATGTTTACATGAAGGGACATACTTTTTAGTATTCCATCTGAATTTTTTCACATCAACTGGAGTTTGAAGAATCATTATTTTTGTGAAATTTTCAGTGCCTTGTATCTGAAAGTCGACAGAATACAAATTAATTTTTGAGCAAGTATTGTATGATTAAATGTTTTCTCTGGTAAGTTACCATCGCAGTCCTTGCCCAGACATTTGGGAGAAAGTTGAAAATATCAGTAAATCACCCAGATATACATCTTAAAATTCCTGGATATGTTGGTTTTGCTAAAGTCAACATTCCACATACTTTCTTTAATTTTTTAATATTTTACTCATTTCTCTTCCAAATGAGAGAAATGTTCAAGAGTTAATCATCAATGGTCTTTTAAAAATCACCCAGAATGTTTTTCTACATGGCAAGAGGAAAATTTAAAAAACACTAGATTTCAAAAAATCACTCCACTTTGTGGTTGTTTTTAACATCCCTTGAGTGGCATCGGTACCCAGGCCACAGCAACCAGGGCTCCTAGAGGAGTGGCGGGTTTCAAGCATCCTTGCTTGACTGTGTGAGTTCCAGCCAGCCTCTGAACCAAAGCTCTGCTGCAATGCATCCACTGGCAAAGGTGGGGACAGGTCGTTAACCGGGCTTCACGTTGGCACTGGTGGCTTCACTTTCAGAAATATTCTTGTGATTGTTGCTAACCTCAGGACTCTTCCCAGCCCCACCTCACTTTTTTCTTATGTCCTAACTACACCCTAAAAGCACATCTACCATAGATTTAAACATTTTATTACTGTATTTATATATCTGTTTCTTTCCATTTGATTGCGAGATCTCTTGAGGGCAGGTTGCAGGTTTCTTTTGTCTATTACTTTGGCCAAATGCAGTTTCAGGTGGCACTTTCTATCATATACTAGCTGCTTAAAAAATACACTTAATTGACTATAGGTCCCTTGATTTCTTCTATGTCTGTCTCTCTTACTCTATCCCAATACATGCAAACACACACACACGCACACAAACACACACATACACCACACCTTCTCTTCTTCTTCACATGGCCCAGGTTCTCATTTTGCTTGGCAGAGGAACTCCAGCAACAGCTTAAATCTGAGATGGCCTTCACTTTTACATTCACTTTTGAAATAGCTGGGGAAATAGCACTGATCTATGGGTCTATGGGTCTGTAGTATTAATGATACAGTCCAGAGAGAGTGTCCTCTCTGATATGTGAATGAACTTAATAGGCCCTCTTCTGCTGTGGAAGACTTCATCCAAATGTAACTGTGGCCAAAAGGTACAGCTTGACCTCCTTTACCGATGTTGGATACAAATAGCTTGGTGCTTGGCTACTCAGTGCCAAAGTAATCAGTGAACTCATTGTATGTATGTGTGTCTATTTATTAGGGGAGGGGAAGCATGGGAGGTGGAAAGCCCAAGATTAACATGATAATTTTTCTAATGCTGATACTTTGTTGAAAATACGTCATATTGACAGAAGACACAAATTAATATTTCTTTACCTGATGGCATGTAATAGGAATTAAAGAAGGTGCCCTATAAGCTTTCCGTAACTGACAATCTTCTACAGCTCCATGTATGAGAATAACATAGATGACTGCCTCATCATAAACATCAGTTTTGGTGTTCATTGGTATATCTTTTACATAAATGTTACAGAGTTGTAATTGCATTTTGTAGTTCCAATCCTACAAGAAAAACAATAATTCGTAGTCTATTATTTGTTTATAAAGTTTAATATAAATTCCTAGTCGTTAATTTCTAACAATATCTTAATGCAGTTCTATTTGGAGAGAAGGCAACATCACATACCAGCTCTTACCTCATAAGATAAATTTTCCCTGACTTTTTTGGCAGTAATAGAAAGTCCAATTTTTAGCCACATTTTATATTCTATGAGAGGACAGCATTGTTTAAAAGCTTCAAACAAATGCTTTCTGGAAATAAAACATGTCTGAAAAAAGGAGGATATAAGAAAAGTTCAATGTTTCATTCTGCGGACCTATGGTTTAAGGAATAAGGTTTTCTTATTTATATAAAGCATTAGAGCTAAGAATTTAAATTATAAAGAGTCATGTTTTTGGCCTGGAAACATAATAAAATGTGTATATTAGTAAATATTTGTGTGATCTTGACGTCTATTGAATTTCAAAGGGCCATATGATCCAATGAGAGTTTTAATGATATTCTTACAGATTTTGATCAGCAAGAAACAAATTGTAATAAAAACCATGTTACCTTTTAAACTAAAGATGTAAGTATTTCTAATAATACATTATTTGAAAGGAGCAAATATTTTAGGGAACAATAAAATGCTGATGCTTAGAATGAATAGACTATTGGCTATGAAGAATAAAATTACTATAAACATTCACGTACAAGTCTTAGTGTACATGGGTTTTTATTTCCCTTGGGTAATATCTTGGGATTGCTGGGTTTTACGGTAAGTGTATATGTAACTGTATAAGAAACTGCCAAACTGCTTTCAGAAGTAGTTGTAACCTTTTGCACTCCCAGTAGCCATGTATGAGAATTTCAGTTGCTTTATATCCTTACCAACACTTGATATGCCAGTCTTTTTAATTTTAGCCAGTGGAGTAGGTATGTGGTGATATTGCATTGATTTTAATTTGTACGTCTCTGAAAGCTAATGATGTTGAGCATCTTCTTCCCATGCTTACTGGCCACTTGTATATTCTTTTGTGAAGTACCTGTTCAAATCCTTTGCCCAACTTTTAGTTGGGTAGTTTATCTTCTTATTTTCGAATTGTAAGAGTTCTTTATATATTCTTTTGTCAAGTGAAGGTATTTCAAGAAGTTTCCCCTAACCTGTGGCTTGCTTTTTAAATAAACTTTATGGTGTCTCTTGAATAGCAGAAGAAAATATTGACATATTGGATTTGGTGACATTCAATTTATCAATATTTCATTCTATGATTAGCATTTTTTGTGTCCTGGTTGAGAAATCTTTCCCTATCTAAAAATCTCCTATGATTTTTCTATAATTTTTATAGCTCTAGCTTTTATGTTTAGGTCTATGATCATTCCAAATTAATTTTTGTGCATACTGTATGGGGTTGAGATTCATTGCCTCCAAATGGATATTCAATGTTTTAAGGCTCATTTGTTGAAAATATTATTATTTTCCCGTTGAAATATTTGGAGCCTTTTGTCAAAAGTCAACTGACCACAGATTCTTTTTTCTCTTTCCTATTTCATTTATTTTAACACTAAGCCAATGCCACACTCTCTTTATTACCATTGATATAAGTCAGATAGTGCAATGCATCTAACATTATTTAAAAAAAAATTTGTTTGGTTTACTCTAGGACCATTGCCTTTCCCTGTAAGTTTTATAAGCAACCTGTAAATTTCTAACAAAAAAGGGTCTTCTGGGGTTTTGAGTGAGATTGCATTGAATCCATAGGTCAATTTGGGAAGAATGGTTATCTTGCTAATATTGTGCCTTCTAGTCCATGAATATAGTATATCTCTTCACTTATTTAGATCTTTATGTTATCTAGAAAATATTGTAAAAGTCTTTCACATCTCTCATTTCACCTTTTGCCTAATAATTATGTGCATTTTGATAAATTTTGTAAAAGGAATTTAAACATTTCATTTCCAGTTGTTTGTTGCTAGTATATGAAAATACAGTTGATTTTTGGAATTTAACTTTCATCTTGCCACTTTTCTAAGTTCACTTATTAATTCTAGTTGGTTTTAATATATCTTTGAGGTTTTTTAAATGTAGATACCATGTCATTTGCAAAACGATAATTTTACTATGTTCTTCCTAATTTTTATGTTAGTGTATTTCTTTTTTAAAATGTTAAATTTATATATAATGACATAACATTTGCCATTTAACTACTTGTGAGTGTGCAATTCAGTGGCATTAATTACATTCAAAGTGTGTGCAACCATCACAACTATCTATTTCTAAAATTTTTTAATCACCCCAAAGAGACTCTGTATCCATTGAGCTCCATTCTCACTCTCATCTCCTTCTTCAATTTCCATTAGACCATCTGATATTACCCCAAAGCTATCTAGAGTCTCTGTACATTTTTAAAATTCTTGTTCCTTTGTTATTCTGACTATATTCTTTCTATTACCTGTCTTCCAATTCACTGATTCCTTTTTACTGCTATCTCCACATCTACAATCTGGTCTTTTTAATTAAAAAATTTCCATTTCACTCTATTCTATGTTCTATTTCATGCTGAAATTTCATATCTCTTTTCCCATTAAGAACATATTTTCCTTTAATTACCCTTCAGTTGTTTGAATCTATTTTTAGCAACTACTTTAAAGTTTTTGTCTGCCAAATCTACATTCTGGTCAATCTCAGAGTCAGTTTCTATTTATCTCCCCCCCCCCCTTTTTTTTTACATTATAGATGACATTTTATGGGTCACATTTTCACATTTCTTTCCTTGTTTAGTGATTCATAATTGCTTCTGGACACTGTTGATGACAGATTGTTGAGGTTCCAGATTCTGTTATCTTTCTCTGAAAATGCTGAATTTTGTTGTAGTAGGCAGTTTATTTACTGGCTGATTACTTTGATTTTGGGTAGGCTGGGTTTTATGATTTGGCTGGGTAAACCAGTGGAAGGTCATAGACATTTTCCAAGCCTGAGTAACTTTGTGGTACTTTACCTCCAAACTCTGTCTCCACTGTGGATCCTGATCCTGTCAGGGCTTTCTCTTGGCCTTTGTTAGGGTGGATCCAGAGCAGATCTTACTCTAGGTCACGATCCTTACACCTATGGCCTATTCTTTCTGGTCTCTCAGCTGAGGTGTTAAAAGGTCTCTTCTTTCTGGCAGGACTGAACTTTCAAAGTTCCTAATCTCTGGTAATTCTTGACGTCTGATATTCCTGTTCCATCTTTAACAATCTGGTTAATCTAGTTTTGTCTCGTCCTGTGCATATGCAGCCCAGCCCTCTAGCAAGTACTTGTGGAGAACCATCACACAGACTCCTAGAGTCTCCCTCTGTGCAACATGTTATCCTAGGCCCTGCTTTGTAGATTCCAGCTACTTCCTCTGCCTCAGCTTCCAACCTCTTCCTTCTCAGCTCAACAGGGTTATCATATTCTGCTTAGATGCTTGCTTGCTGCATCATGGTTGGGAAATTGTCCTAGGCAGAGTCAGGGTGGGTGTGGACTTAGTTTGTGAGTTTCTCTTATCTCAAGGATTTCAGACTTACACTTGCTATTTTCCAGTGACTGAAAAATTTGCCTCATATATTTTGTGAAGTTTTATGGTTGTTTATGGCAGGTGTGCTGGTCTGCTACCACTAACTTCATCATAACCAGATGCAGAAGGCTAGAGTATTTTTATGCAAATCCTAGACATAATTCCACTTGTAAATATTTTAATATGCATCTCTGAATGATAGAGACATTTTCAAGATATAATCATCATGTGGTTATATAATAAAATTAAAAATAATATTATAATATCATCTAATATTCTGTTTATGTTAAAATTTCCCAAATTTGTCTCAAATAGTCTTTTTACAGTTGGTTTGCTCAAACTGGAACAATTGGTTTGGGTTATTATGTCTCTAAAGTCTCTTTTTAACAGTTCATCTTGTCTCTTTCCTCCTTCCACTTTTATAGCATTGATTTGTTGGGGAAACCAGGTGTTTTGTTCCGTAGAGTGTTCCACATTCTAGATTTAGCTAATTATTTCCCTCTAGTATGGAGTCCTGGTGGCGCAGTGATTGAGAGCTTGGCTGCTAACCAAAAGGTAGACAGTTGGAATCCACCAGCTGCTTCTTGGAAAACCCATGGGGCAGTTCTACTCTGTCCTATAGGGTCGCTATGAGTTGGAATCGACTGGATGGCAATGGGATTTTTAACTTTTTTAAATTTTTTTTTAGTGTCAATTAACTTGTTTCTCTCTTTCTTGTGTTTTCCATAAACTGGTTAGATCTAGGGGCTTCCCAGGTTTTCTCTTTTCTTGGGCAAGAAGAGTTCATGGGTGGTGCTGGTACTTCCGAGTTACCACATCATGAGGCACACAGCGCCTGGTTGTCATACTTTTAGTGACGCTAAGATTGATGGGTGGTATCTGCCTGTTCCCTTCATTATAAACTTTACCATTAACATTCCACTTAGTAGTTTTAGCATCAATTCATTTTTGTTGCCTTGATTCATTATTTAATTAGCAACGGCAAAAGGAAGATTTTCTAATTCTCTCCATTCTGCATTTGTTAGCTGGGATTCTTCTACAAAGAAGAACATTTCCTCATCATTTTTTTGGTTACTTTGGAAGAGTTCAAAGAGGAAAGGCTGGAAAAATGTTTAAGTATTTCCCTTTTAAAAAAATCAATTTTTAGAGTAATAAATTAATATCCTAGTAATCTCCATGGAAATAAAAAATTGATACCATTATCAACTTATGGATTTTTACATATTTGATGGGCTTCAGTTGATTGCAGTCCTCATTCTTTTTGATGTTCAGATTATGCTAGTGGGAATCCCTGGTACTTTGAGGATTTCATTTTCAACCGAGTTGGGCACTTTCACCCACTTTGCTCAACTTTTCTATTAATTATGCCTAGGTCTCTGATTTGTTAACCCTTCCTTACCTTCTAAATTATGGTTTTTATAACTCACATATCCAACCCAATTTCCCCATAAAAAAGCTCACATAACCACTTTTTTTTTTATGGTTAAATTCTTCTTTCAATATGGTAGGTTAACTTATACAAGCCATTTTGCCAAGACACTTTACTGGATGAGTATAATGCTACAACAAGTTTTCATCTTTATCACCTCTAGTTTTTAAAAAAGTAAATTGTCACTAGACTGTAAATACATACTAAGTACAGAAGCAACCATAAATTTGATGCTAGAGAGTAAGTTATAGGATGACATTTTCTGACCTCCACTACAGTTTTGCAGGTGGCAGAATATTTCATGGGTTCATTGGTTAAGCAGTTTAACTCTCCTATTATTTCCCCACTGATCAAATAGTCCGTGTGAGTTATCTGAAAATCTTTCTCCTCTGACTCCCAGAGTGTTTGGTCATTACCCAAACCTGGCTTTGATCTTTGAAGCTGTTCAGGAACAAAGAAAGAAAAATACATACATCAGTTGACTTGTTTTACTAAAATTATCTGATTTGTTACCTTTTTTTCCTTTGGGTTTTAAAATTTTTAATATATAGTATTGTTTTGAAAATACTTATTACTTCTTCATTTTTAAGTAAATTTATTAAATTAGCAGTGACTTACAAACAAAGTATCCTTTCTTTTTTTTTGAAACAGAGCACTCTTAAATACCCTGATCTTTCTAATTCCTTCTACTCAGCCAATGTCTACCCAGTTAGAATGGATAAGTCTCTAATTGAGATAAATTGAAGATGTAATTATCCAACGTAAAAGATGATCCTTTTGATACCTTATTATTATGATAAGGTATGACTAAAAAGACAGATGAGTGGTCTTTTCCACCGTGTCTTAACATGAAAATTGTCATTTGAACTGCAGCCGCAGTACTGCAAATGGAATAAAGCTATTAATTCTCAATTTTATAAAATTTTAAACTAATGTTAATGAGTGCATTTGTAAGTAAGTCTGCCTTACCTTTACCATGCCTGAAATAATTATATAGATTCCTCTGGGCTCATCACCCTCTTCAAATACATCATTTCCACAATCAAATGTTACAACTGTGACTCTTTCCTAAAAAAATCACCAAATATGTAAGCTATACATAATATTTTAGCAGTGGTTGGGGATGCTGACCTTTACCTTTAAAAAAAAATTTTTTACATTTTTAAAGTAAACATCGCTCAGCAAGATCTCCTGAGATATCACATTAGTAGTAAATTTAAAGAGAAAATTTGAATTATGAATAGTAAAGAGAGGAAGGTGGACATTCATGGCTGTATGAAATTTCAGATACTTGAGTTAGGAAAGAAATAATCTAGTAATAAGAAAGTAATTACCAGTTGCTGGCAAGTCGATTCCAACTCATGGTGACCCCATGTGTGTCAGAGTAGAACTGTGATCCACAGGGTTGTCAATGGCTGAATTTTTCAGAATTAGATCTTCAAGCCTTTTTATCTGAGGTGCCTCTGGGTGGACTTGAACTTCCAACCTTTTAGTTAGCAGCACAGCAACCGTTTGTACCACATTGGTAGTTCAGCCTTCCAGGTTGGACACCCGGGTTCAATTCATGCACAGTCACCACTTGCCTATCAGTGGAGGCTTGCATATTGCTGAACAGGTTTCAGTGAATCTTCCAGACTAAGACAGACTAGGAAGAAAGGTCTGGCAATCTTCTTCAGAAAATCAGCCTTTAAAAATCCTATGGATCACAGTGGTCCGGTTCAAAACTAATCATGGGAATGGTGCAGGACTGGGCAGCATTTTGTTCCATTGTGCATGGGTTGCCATGAGTCGGGGCCAACTCGATGGCAGTTAATGACAACATGTCTTTACACATGAGCCGGCCGAGTCATTTATCTAAGAAGTGAATCTATATGTCTTTACTGCAGCAAACCCTATTTATGGCTCTCCATTACTTACGTAATATGGCCTAAGCTTCTCATGCAAACTTTAGCCTACCTCCTTCTATTTCACATTTTATCATTTGACCCACTCAAATGTTGTAGAACTCTAAAAACACTGTGCTTGATTCTCTAAACATGTTTTCTTCTCCTACTCCTCTGACTCTTGGCTCATGTCTCCCTACTTCCTGGAATGCCGTTTATTTGCTTTCTTGTCCTGATTAATGAACTAAACTGTGAACTTTCTGAGGATTGGGACTATACTTTGAAAGTTTGGAAGGTATTATATATTTCCTGGGTATCAGTTTGAACCCACCCAGCGATGCTGTTGAAGAAAGTGCTCATGATCTGCTTCTGTAAGGATTACTGCCAAGAAAACCCTATACAGCAGTTCTGTTCTGTAAGAGATGGGGTTACATTGAGTCAGAATCGAAGTCAATGGGTTTATCTAGTACCTTTAATCATTTTATTAAAAATGGCAGGTTCTAGAGCTAGATTGCCTGGTTTTGAATCCCAGCTCCACCTCTAACTAGCTATTTGACCTTCAGAAGTTATTGAGTCTTTCTTTGCATTGATATCCTCATTTGTAAAATGAGGATAATAATTGCTCTTATACTAGAATGCTGTTGAGGGTATTAAATGATATAATCCATGCAAAAAGCTCAGAATACTCTCTGAACTATATTATGTTTTCAATAAAAGTTAGTTTTGATTGTGTGCATCCCCAGGTCCTAGCATTGTGTATGGCACATGTAACACAACAAATCCTGGTTATGTGAATGAATGAAAAGTGTCAATAAACACTTGCGTGGCATGGTGAGTGTGTTCCTATAGGAGTAATAAACAGGGAAAGTTTGAAAATAAGTGAAAACAAAGAGCATTTCAAGAAAAGTAAATAGCATCCACAGAGGAATGGAATTAGGAAACAATATAAAGTGCTTGGGCGCCCTGAGTGGCTCATATAGCTACAATCTAAGCGGTGTATGATGAAGGGGCAACAGAAGATAACAATCAAGAGGCAGGCAGGAGGCAGATTTCAGAAGGACTTTGATTTTATCCTACAGGCAGTAAGAAGCATTTATAGAATTTTAAACTGGACAGTATCATGGTTGAATCTTTATTTTTTTAAAAGATCATTTGTAGGCACACTGAAGATGATATAAGTAGGAAATAAAAATGTTACCTGAATGAAGCCTATATGATCTTGGTCTTTATCTAGCCACGGAATATGATACAGTGCTTCTTCAATAGTAAGAGGCCTGATCATTGGCTGGAAATCAAGCATCTCTCTTTTTTTGGCCATGATTAACTAAAACCACAAAATTTAAGAAAGGAGATGAACCAAACTGTTGTTCATAGAATGTTTAAAACAATTATGATCTTGTACTATTTCCTATTCTTCCTCTTCTGAGATGTTTGTTCTCCCATAGAAACCAACCTCTTACAACAATTATTTTCTATCTCCTTATCATTATTCTGAAGTCATAGATTAAACTTTTTAAAGTAAATTTTTTGAAGTATAAATTGAAGTATAACACACACACACAAAAGTGCACAAATAGCCACTTGGAGAACATTTACAAAGTGAAAACATCTGTGTAACCAGTACCCAGATCAAGAAATTATTCACTGCACCCCTGAATCCCCCTCTATGTTCCCGTTCAGTCATTGTCCCATCCAAAAATAATCACTGCCCTGACTTCTATCATCATAGTGTAGCTTTGTCTGGTTTTGAGCTATACGTGCATGAAGTCAAAGAGTATGCATTTGTTTATATCTGGTTTCATTTCCTCAACATTGTTTCTGATATTTATCTATGGTGTTCCAGGGAGCAAAAATTAGTCACTTTCATTGTCGAATAGTATTATGTTATATGATTATACAGGTTTTATTTAACTACTGTTGATGGACATTTGAGTTATTGGGACTGTTATGAGTGATGTTGGGTACATAGCCAGAGGTTTAATTCCTGGGTTGTAGGATGTGCATATGCTTGGCTTCAGTGGATACTTTCCAAAGTGGCTGCTTCAATTACACTTTCACCCTAATGCAGGAGAGAGTTCCAGTTGTTCCACATTGTCATCCACACTTGGTACTATCAGGTTTTTTTATTTTTTAATATTAGTTATGGTGGTTGTGTATTTGGTATTTCATTTTTGTTTTAATATGCATTAAGCTTATGACGATGATAGTTGGTGCCTTTCCTTATATTTATTGGCCATTTGAGCATCATCTTTTGTCAAGTTCACATATTTTGCCCATTTCTTAAAGATGAGTTTTCCTCTTGTTCTTATCGATTTGTAAGATATTTTTATGTATTCTGAATATGAAACCTTTGTTGGACATATTTGTTTTGCAAATATCCTCTCCCTTTTTGCAGATTGTCTTTATATTCTCGTGTTTTTTTAAAATAATGAGTTCTGACTTTTAATATTTTTTAAATCCAATTGTGTGTCCTATTTGAGAAATCTTTGCCTACCCTAATATCATGAAAATTCTGTTATTTTTTAGAAGCTTACTGTTTTATATTTTACAGTTATGTCTACAATCCACCTGGGATTAATTTTTTGTGTGTGGTATGAGGGAATGATCCAGATTCATGAATGAAATAGGCAGAAGAATTCCATAAAGAAAACTACAAAAAAAATTGAGACAAAATTAAAACCTAATTAAATGAAGAGATATCATGCTATTAAATTGAATTGATATTATAAAGTTGTCAATTTTTTTTTCCAAATTGGTGTATAGGCTTACTGCAATCCTAACAGAAATTCTAGTAAGTTATTTAGTGAAAATTGACAAGCTGATTCTAAAATTTATTTGGAAATACAAAACACCAAAATACTCAAAATAATTTTGAAGAAAAGAACAAAACTGGAGGATGCACACTGTCAGATATGAAGACTTATTATTAAGTTTCAATAATTACGAGTATGTGATATTCGTTCAATGATAAGCAAATAGAGCAACAGAATAAAATAGAGTGCAGAAATTCATCTACACAAACACGATCACTTAGTTTATGACAAAGTCTCTACAGAGTGCAGTGGTGGAGATGAACTTGTCCATAAATGATTATCCATATGGTGGGAAAGTTGAATTTAACCTAGCACTGTAATGCAAACCATTCCAAGTTGCATTGCTTCTGTTTGTTATTTTTATTTCCTACAGCGTAAACTTTCCTCATAATCAGGTGTATCGGTCTTGGTTTTCTAAGTTTAAAATTCCTAGTCCCTTTTTGGTTGCTTTCTACCATCTCTTTCTACTTGTGGTTTTTGATAGTGCTGTGTTAGAGCATGGGCTCTGGCATCAGAATGCCTGAATTAGAATACTGTTTCCATGCTCACTAGCTCTCTGACCTTGAACAAGTTTTTTAACCTCTCTGTGCCTCAGTTTCCTCTTCTATAAAATAGGGACACCAATAGTACCCAACTCACAGGGATGTTGTGAGGATTAAGTGAGTAAAGATTTATTATTATTATTATTTATTATGCTTTTATTATTTCCCCTCTGCATCATTTTTACCATGTTTTCTGCAGGTTTTCCTTATGTTTTATGTTTTTTTATTCAGCAGAAATGCCCCTTTTCATAGGTCTTTTCACTATAATTGAAATCACAGACTGAACCATTAAACTGTAAAATAAACACTAAGCTAAAAAATCAACCTGCGTTGACCATGGTGAGTTTATTTACTCATATAAGGCACACAGGTATTGTGTGGTAATACAATAGCCTACAGAAGTGCAAGCCAGACCATCCGTGTCTTAAGGATATTATTCTGGATACCTCAGTAAAATTATGGCAAATGGTGGGCTTGGAGGCTACATTGTTTTCGTTAGTTGCCTTCAAGTAGATTCAGGCTCCTGGCCACCCCATGTGTGCTGAGTAGAACTGTGCTCCTTAGGGTTTTCAAGGCTGTGACCTTTCGGAAGCAGATCACCAAGCTTGTCTTCCGAAGTGCCTCTGGGTGGGTTCAGAGCACCAATCTTTCTGCCAGTAGTCAGTGCTTAACTGTTAGGGCCACCCAGGGGCTCCTATATATCACTACAAAATCTCCTTTTAAATATCAGTTTATTGATTATACAAGTGATACATGAGAACATGTCCAAGTAAGAATTTCAAGCATTATGAAAAATACAGAATAAAAAGCTAAGGCTCCCTTCACCCTCCCTCTATCCCTCCTGTTCCTTCCTGTAGATGAAACCAGTATTCAAAGTTTGACATACAATCATCTAGATCTTTTTGCAAAGTATTACATAGATATGCGCATATAGAAATTAAAAAAAAATCCACGCTGATCATATTATACATACTGTTTTAAAAATTACTTTATTCCTACTAACAATGTATCTGTATTTTTCATGTCAGTTCATATTCTTGTTAATTTATATATAATGTTCATTTGCATAGACATATCACACTCTCCAAAATCACCCCCAAATTGATGGATGTGTAGGTTGTTTCTAACATATATGTTTGAACATATATCTTTGTTTACTTTTGAATATCTATAAGATAGGTTTTTATACATATAATTGCTTGTTCAAATGGTATGCATATTTAAAGCTTCCATTTGCTAAATTGCCCTACGGAATGGCTATACTTATTTGCATTTTTTTCTGGTGTATTTAAGTGTGAATATTTTCTCATAGGAGTCCCTGGGTGACACAAATGGTTAAGTGCTTGACTATTAACCCAAAGTTTGGGGGTTCGAACCTACCCAGAGGCATCTCTGAAAGAAGGCCTGGTGATCTGTTTCTGAAAGGTCACAGCCTTGAAAACCCTATGGGGCGCAGTTCAACTCTGCAACATATGAGGTCACCATGAGTCAGAATCAACTTGAAGGCAACTGTTTTTTCTTTCTTCATAACCTCACTAGCATTAAATACTTCCAGTCCCCCCACAATGTTGCTGTTCTAATAGGTAAAAATGGTATCTATTAATGCTTTAGTTTCTATTTCCTTGGTTACTATGGATGTTAGACACCTTTTTGAATATTCATTGGCAATTTTTCTTTTTGTATAGGTGAAATGCCTCTTTCTTACCTGTTTCTCACTTTCTATAAGGTTCTTTGTCCATGGCAAGAATGATGTGGTCTATATAGCATAAAATATTTACTATCTGGCCCATTACAGGGAAAGTTTGTAGACTCCTGCTCTATAGAAAGTTTTTCAGCTCTTGTCACATGAGTGTTGCATATTTTGTGTTAGGTTCAAACTTAAGGATTTAGAGTTTTAATTGCTATTGTGAATAGAATAGTTCCTATTGTTGGAGCAGAATTTTGTATACTGATCTTGTTTCTGAACACCCCAGTGGATTCTTATTAATCCTATGGCTTATCAGTTAACTCCCTAGGATTTTAAATTAAGAAGTCAACTGATATATTTTCTGTCCTTTCTTTCTGAAATTTCCATCTCTCCAATTCCTTTCTTTCCTTCTTGACCAGGCAAAGACTTCCAGGCTCCTCATTCAGTACTTGGAATGACAGTTGTCATCCTTCTTTTGTTCCTGATTTTAATTGGGGATACTTCCAAATGTTTTGCCATCTAATACAATGTTTGCTGCAGATTGCTAATAGATGCCTTTTATGAAGTTAGGAATGTTCCTTCCTGTACCTGCCTGCTAAGAATTTCTTGAACATTCTGAATGAGGGCTGAACTATAACAATTGGTTTTTCTTTATTTATCACTTTAATGAATAAATTACATAACTACTTGGGAGAGATTAAAAATAGTCATAGTATATTATTCTTTTAATATATTTCCAGAATCAATTTGCAATTATTATATTTAGAAGTAGTTTTGCATATGTATTCACAAGTATAAAAACTTTACGCTTTTTTTTTTTCTTAAGTTATTCTCTATTTGATGTCTTATAGAATGAGTTAGAACCCTTTCTTTCTTTTTACATGTCATGGTACCATTTAAATGACTCAGAGAAAGGAAATGCAGTCAATTCTAACCCTACAAATGAGTGTTTTTATAAATCACGGTTTCTATGGGAAAAGTTATTTTGGTGTCGCAGATAATTCCCAGGAACATGTTGATACCCACACTAGCCCTGGATGAAGACTAGATGCATCAGATCTTGGTTTGGGAACAGAGCAGAGAAAGGGACAGTCTCTCACTGGCAAGAATGGGAAGAGAAGCTGACCACTGGGGCTGTAGGATAGAAACTCCCTATGGCTGGTGCTGGTCTTCAGAAAATTATTCTAAGTTGGATATTCATATCTCAGGGACGGCCTGTATTGGAAAGAGCCAAAAGTAGGTTTAAAGATCATGATTGACTGTATGTCGAAATGAAAATATTCTATCTTACCTTATTAATTTCAGAACCTTCAATTTTATGAATAATTCCTTTTAACCTGAAAACCTTCACAATTTCTCTAGCTATATTGAGCATGACATTAATCTGTTCCTTTGTTTTCATAGTGATGGCAATTTGTGGATGATCATACTCTAAGTAGCCTGAAAATAACAAAGTATTTTCAGATGAAATCAAGACAATGTTTGAAATATTTCATGAGAACATTAGCTAACATTTCTGCTCCAAGCCCATGGAGTGCAATCCTCACACAGGGAAACGGGTCTGTTCCTGCTGGAACTGCTGCACTAAGTCATTGCTTTCCAGGTGTGCGGCAAACACCAGGGACTGTGAATATAATAAATCCTTAAATGTTTCCAGTCTCCCTTTCTTGATTCACATTCGACCTTATCACACCTCAAATATTACTGAGATGTCAAGTTGAAACAGTGTGACTATGCCATTCTGGGGGTATTTCTTGCACCAGGAGCATGAACTCAGAGAAGAGGCTGCTGCCATGTTTGGGCACTGAATCCCCCAGCACTCCGAACAGAGACCTGAGAGTGAGACACTGTTCTGACTTCAACGTATCCTAAGGTCTAAAGCCTAGGAGTCCCTGGGCATCTTAGATGGTTATTGTGCTTGGCTGCTAACCAAAAGTTTGGAGGTTCAGTCCACCCAGAAGTGCCTTGGAAGAAAGGCCCGGCAATCTACTTCCACAAAACCAGGCACTGAAAACTCTATGGAGCAGTGCTACTCTGACACACATGGGGTCTCCATGAGTTGAAACTGACTTGATGGCAAGTGCTTTTCAGGCAGCTCTGTGCCAGGTGGAGTGAAAGGGTGACTTCTTCCCTTCTGTGGCTCAGGAGAGCATGCACATCTAGTTTGGAAGAGAATAGACTTTATAATGTGGATAATGGCATCTAATATGTATTCCTTAAACAGAAAGTAAAAGGCCTTCATTGTGCAATAAAACAGAGACGAGTGGAGAGGTAATATTATACTATTCCCACCCAAACTAGAAGAACACTTTGATCATTGATGTTATCTACTTTATTATTATTAGTGTATAGGTTTCCTCAAAGATTTTTTTAATTATCAAACCACTGCCTTTCTGAAGTAGTGATGACAAGCTAGAATCATGCTGAGTCTTCAGGGTGAGAGGTACCTACCTAGCTCTTTCATAGCACGTCCCGTATTTCTTGTTACCCGCTTTAATAACATCTACAGAATGAAAGACATGTTACCCCCATTGGAAAAATGGACTGTTATAAAATATCTTTACATTTGCAACTGATGAATTTTTAACCTAAATTATAACTTTAAAAAATATGACCGAGAGCTTTTCAGAGATTAGACAGAAAAAAAGGTCAAGAACGTGATGGGGGGAGGCGAGCTAGGGAAGGGGGGTGAACCCTTTTCTTACTATTAAAGGTTTTCCTTACCTGTTTAACCTGTTTAGAATTTGAAATTTGATCAATTATAGTCATTATATCTGCTTCACCTTGGACATATCCTTTTAGTATAGCATACCTAAAGGACAGCTGTTGACTCATTCTTTTGTCTATTAGCTGCAGCAACTTTGGTGTTACAAGCTGAAAAAACAGGACTACCGTTTAAAACAAGTCACACAAATTTTCCTTAATTATATGTTGATTAGTTTAACCAGAATAGGCAAAGGTAACTACAGTAAACTGCCAAGGTTCTTACTTATTTTATGATGACTTCATGACTATAGTTATTTCCCTGTAACTAATAATGTTGAGCACCTATGTGAAGTTTATGACTTTATTCTCCTTTACTTATTTCCCTTCAAGAAAATTGGATGCTATTTTCAACTGGTTTAAATTCTTGGAAAACAACATGATTAATCTTTGGAGCTTAGGTTTTCGTAATGAAGCCCATAAAATATTTCCACTTTTGCATACTAAATCTCTTACTAAACTTTCTACTAGATGCTCCGTTCGGGTTAGAACCCACCACAACCATATTCCTTGTTAAATTCCACAATTAACTTCTTATTTGCTGAGGATTTGTTTATCCTTTACCATTGTTCAGTTATCCTGTCTTCAGAGTTGGCTGTTCCCTATGCTTTCCCTGTCTATGCTCCACAACCCTCATACTCTACCCCCAACAACCTGTCACTAATCCTCAGAAAGCTTATACACATTCTTCAAGATTCAGCTCAAATATTACCTAAGTAAAGGAAGTCTTTTCTATCCCACAGCATTCTGTGCATACCACTGTCTTGTACAGAACAACATTGGTATATATGGATTTCTTGTCATATTCTTTCTATTAAAAGCTCTGTTGGGGCAGAAGCTATATCTAATTTTTCTTATATTCCAAGGGCCCACTGTTTGATATAAGATAAGGGTTCAAGGTTTCCTGAATGTATAAACAAACTTTTCTTAAGTGGTTTAACAGTTTCTTTTTCTAAAATGGTTGGTAGGCTCTGCATATTCTTCTATCAGGAAGAATTAACTTGTCATTGGGATACATTAGACTTGCCTTACTCAGGTCAAATCACACCTTCAAATTATTTACTGCCCATATTACACTAAAAGGGAAAAGGCTATTGGTTTCATGCATTTAGAATTGGTTGATTCCTTGGAACATACCTCTCAGTGGCAAAAGATATTTATAAACATATATAATAAAGCTCTAAATGTAAAGATTCTAATCTGTTAGCTTTATTGCCACTGTTAGCTTTCTACCTCCACAGCATTTAACATATAGATCTCTGAGTGTGTTCATGTGTGTGTGTCTTGTTTGTGTATGAAAAGAGAAAGACAGAGAGAGAAGGAGAGTACTGTACATTGAATTGTGTCCTCCAAAAAGATATGCTGAAGTCCTAATCCCTGTGCCTATGAATGTGACTTTGTTTGGGAAAATAGGGTATTTCTTTGAAGATATTATATGTTAAGTCATATCAGAGTAGGGTGGATCCTGATCCTAATCCTTTCTTAGTAGTGTCTTATAAAAGGACAGAACAGGCACAGAAACAGAGCCACACACAGAGGGAAGGTAGACACTACGTGATGAGAGAAGCAGATGCATCTGTAAGGAGCAAAGATACGCCAACCATTGCCAACAGCCACCAGAAACCAAGAGGGGACACGGAATAATTTTTCTGTCAAGGACCTCAAAAGGAATTGCCATGACCAATGCACTGGTTGGATCTCCAGAATTGTGAGAATAAATTCCTGTTCTTTAAAGCCACTCATTTTGAGGTATTTTTTTATGGCAGCTCTAGGAAGTAAGTCACAGACTACATCTGTACCCACTTAGACTTCATATGCTGTGTGTGAAGGAATAGGCTTCATGTAATTGACTACATCTGTACTCACTTAGACTTCATATGTCATGTGTGAAAGAATAGGCTTCATGTCATTGACTATATCTGTGTCCACTTAGACCTCATATGCTGTGTGTGTAGGAATGGGCTTCTTGTCATTGACTACATCTGTACTCTTTTAGACTTCATATGCCTTGTGTGAAGGAATGCATGTCATTGACTACATCTGTATCCACTTAGAATTCATATGCCGTGTGTGAAGGAGTGGGCTTCATGTCATCAAAATAGTCACAGAGAAAATACAGAACTGCCCATCATTATTTTTATGGAGAGGATTTTTGCATTGAATGAGATAATGCACAGATGTATTAGATAATCAAAGGTAATTTCTGACGTTATGATTCTAGAATAGTATGAATCTATATAATACTGAGTGTGTGTTTTTGTTTTTCCATTTATATGAATGCATCATGCTATACGATTTGTCACTATGAATGGTTTGCCTAGTTTTCTGTTTTGTTGATATCCATCTTTTATTCCCCAGGTATTTATAAGATAAGCATTATTTTGGGCTTAATTAGAATTTATGTTTATATGGAACTTTTCACGTGCCTTCCTCTATTCAAGGAAAAGTTGTGTCATGTATTTCTATATTCTCATGTGCTAAATGGATTTTTGATATAACTTGGGTATTCCTAATATAAAATGTTATAAAACTTAATTTGTCAAAAGGAAGCTAAAATTTAAAATATAAACATTAGTCCAACAGAAAGTGGTAAGTGTAAGACCAGTAAACAAATTTTAGTCCACATTTCATGAAACAGTTAAAGAGAAATTTGAAATTGCATGATTTAACTGTTTTACCTTCAAAATGCGTAGTAAACGAAACAGTCGAATAATTTTTATGAAGACCATTGCTTTAATGACACTAAATTGATGTTTATTGTGCTCTGTATTAACAACTGCTTCATCTATGATACCAACAAATGTAATTGCTAACTCAAATAGGTTCCAGGTATGTAAAAAATATTCCTTCCTCATAGCTGCCATCTGTTGATTTAAAAAGAAATCACATTATTTTGTTTGTTCTTGTTTTTATTACATCATTTCCACAATAACAGAAACATCACCAGTTAGGTTTTTCTTTGATCTACCTTAAGACTCTGCTTCTCTGGAATACCACAGGAAACCAAAATTAAACAAAAAAGCAAACAAATCAAGTTCATCATTTTCCTGTAGTAGAGGAGAGGAACATTCAATAGAATTATTGATTTAGGATTGGTGCAAATGGTTAAGTGCTTGACTACTAACCTAAAGGTTGGCAGTTCAAACCCACCCAGCTGAGCCTCAGAAGAAAAGCCTCGTAATCTGATTCCATAAAGATTACAGCCAAGAAAACCCTATGGAGCAGTTCTACTTTGTAACACATTGGGTTGCCATGAGTCAGAATTGACTTGATGATGAGGCAGGGCCAAGATGGTGGAATACTCAGACACTTCTTGTGGTCCCTCTTACAACAAAGACCCCAAAAAACAAGTTAATTGATTATATTTGACAATCCAGGATCCCTGAGCACCAAAGACAAAGTTGAGGAGTCCGACTGAGCAGCATGGCAAGGGAGAGACAGTTCAGAAGCAGCAAAGAAGTGTCAAACTTGAGCTAGCCAGCACACTGCAGGCTGGATTCGGCTGACACACGCGGGCTGAGGCAAGCAGTAATACTCGGGACGCATTTTACCACGTCAGGAGAGACGGGGTGATGGAGAGTCTGCACAAGCCTCCAGAGCCAGGGGGAAGTGGCACTGGATCTGTGAAAGTTAAGTGCAAGCTTCTAAACTACTGCGGGGGATCAAAATAACCCCTCCTCCTCTGGGACTTTTGTAGGGGAGAAGTGCCTCTTTTCCCGTCACCCTCCTTCCTCCCTGCTCTGCTAGGATACCACTGTGGCAGTATTCAACAGTTGCTACACCCTCTAAGCCTGGAAAAGAGTTACCATGTCCAAACAAGTCTCGTGGTTTTAAAAATTCACCATGCCCTCTAAGCCAGGAAGTAAGGGCAGGCACTGCCCCTTTGCCTAGGCACAAGCATAAGGGGTCCACAGACCCTGAACACCCTTCACCCCTGCCTAGACCTGTGTGGGTTTGATTCAACAGCACAGGCTCTCATTAGCATAGAACAACAGGTTATACACCTGAAGCCTATTTTCAAATGCAACACCCAAGGGGGAGTAGTAGATTTGTGACATTTGATACCACCCTGACCATTAAGCAGGGGCCTGAGGACTGGCAGATTCACCCATTCCACCTAACCACCCATGACAGGGTTCTGAGAATAAGTATGCCTTCTAGTCCTTCCGGCCAACAGCACTGGGTGCCCAAAGTCTGGCTGCAAAACCCACACACCTACATGCTGTAGGGGGGAAGGACATGCCTTCCACCTAGGCACTCAGGGGCAGCCATCAGCCCCCTGCCTTGCTCAGTACATAGCCCTCTACAGCAACCAGATAACTGTGCCTTCTCAAATCACCCCTATGTAGCACTGCCAGTCTAGGACTGTAGGTGAGAGCCTGAACCACACATTAATGACCTGGACACCTGAGCTGAATCCATACAAGAAAAGTAAATGCACTCCTGGGCTCGCACACCTAGTAGTAGCTCTAACTACCTGGTGACAGGACATAAGAGCTTCAAAGACATCAATAACCAAAGCAGCCCACACACCCAGCCTATCTGGGCATATCAAAACAAAACAAAACAAAAAGCTAGGACACAGTAAGCAAACATAAAATAGATAAATATAAAAACTTATTGATGGCTCGGAGACAACAGTCAATATCAAATCACATAAAGAAGCAGATCGAGATGGCTCCAGCAAGCAACCAAAATAAAGAACCAGGGAACCTTCCTGAGGAAGAGAAGGTCTTGGAATTATAGGAGGTAGAATTCAAAAGACTAATATACAGCACTCTTCAAGATATCAGGAAGGAGATCAGACAAAATGCAGAACAAGCCAGGGAACATACAGACAAAGCAATAAAGGAATTCAGGAAAGCTATACAAGATCAGAATGACAAATTTAACAGGCTGCTAGTATCCATAGGGAGACAGCAAATAGAAATCCAAAAGATTAACAATAAAATTTCAGAATTAGATAACTCAATAGAAAGTCATAGGAACAGAATTGAGGCAATGGAAGTCAGAATTAGTGAAACTGAAGATAAAGCGCTTGACACCAATTCATCTGAGGAAAAATCAGATAAAAGAATTTAAAAAAATGAAGAAGCCCAAAGAATTATGTGGGACACTATTAGAAGGAGTAACCTATGGGTGACTGGAGTACCAAAATGTGTGTGTGTGGCGGGGGGAGGATAACAGAAAATACAGAGAGAATTGTTGAAGATTTGCTGGCAGAAAACTTCCCTGACATCATGAAAGATAAGAAGAGATGTATCCAAGAAGCTCATCAAACTCCACACAGGGTAGATCCCAATAGAAAGTCACCAAGATATATTATAATCAAACTTGCCAAAACCAAAAATAAAGAGAGAATTTTAAGAGTGGCTAGGGATAAATGAAAATTCCCTTACAAAGTAGAGTCAATAAGACTAAGCTCTGACTACTCAGCGGAAATCATGCAGGCAAGAAGGCAGTGGGATGTCATATAGAAAGCTTTGAAGGAAAAAAATTGTCAGCCAAGAATTATATGTCCAGCAAAATTGGCTCTCAAATATAAAGGTGAGATTAGGGCATTTCCAGATAAACAGAAGTTTAGGGAGTTTGTAAAAACCAAACCAAAATTATAAGAAATACTAAAGGGAGTCCTCTGGCTACAGAACCAACAATATCAGATAACACCCCAAGACTAGAACACAGGACAGAACAACCAGATATCAATCCAGATATAAGTCTAAGCTAAAACACTGAAAATAGGGAAACAGAAACATCAATATGTAAATGACAACAACATTAAAATAAAAAAAGGGACTATATAGTGTAGTCATAGAAGTTTCATATGGAGAGGAAGTTAAGGCAATATTAAGAAGTAAAAGATTGGTTTAAACTTAGAAAAATAGACGTAAAATCTCAGGTAACCATGAAGGAAACTAACAAATCTACCCATCAAAATAAAAAAGAAGAAAAACATAAAGACTCATCAAATAAAAAATCAACAATAATGACAAAGATGAAAAGAAAATACCTAAAGAAAAAAGACTCAGCACAGAAAATTAAGTGGACAAAGAAACTGTCAACACTGCACACACACACAAAAATACATCAAAATGATAGCACTAAACTCATACTTACCAATAATTACACTGAATGTACATGGACTAAATGAACCAATAGAGAGAGAGTGGCAGAATGAATTAAAAAACACAATCTGTCTATATGCTGCCTACAAGAGACACACGTTAGACTCAAAGACACAAACAAACTAAAACTAAAAGGGTGGAAAAAATATATTAAGCAAACAATAACCAAAAAATAGCAGGAGTGGCAATATTAATCTCTGACAAAATAGACTTTAGAGCAAAATCTACCTCAAAGGATAAGGAAGGACACAATACAGTGATTAAAGGATCAATATGTCAGGAAGACATACCCATAACAAAAATATACACACCCAACAACAGGGCTCCAAAGTACATAAAACAAACTCTAACAACACTGAAAAGAGAAATAGACAACTCCACAATAATAGTAGGAGACTTTAACACACCACTTTTGGTGAAGGACAGAACATCTAGAAAGAAGCTCAATAAAGACATGGAAGATCTAAATGCTACAATCAACCAACTTGACCTTATAAAAATATATAGAACACTCCACCCAACAGCAGCCAAGTAGACTTTCTTTTTCAACACACATGGAGCATTCTCCAAAATAGACCACATATTAGGCTGTAAAGCAAGACTTAACAGAATCCAAAACCATCGAAATATTACAAAGCATCTTTTCTGACAATAAAGCCATAAAAGTGGAAATCAATAACAGAAAAAGCAAGGAAAAAAAAATACATAGAAACTGAACAACACCATGCTCAAAAACTGCTGGGTTATAGAAGAAATCAAGGGCAGAATAAAGAAATTCATAGAATCAAATGAGAATGAAAACACATCTTACCAGAACCTTTGGGGCACAGCAAAAGCAGTGTTCAGAGAACTATTTACAGCAATAAATGCACATATCCAAAAAGAAGAAAGAGCTAAAATCAAAACATTAACCCTACAACTCGAACACATAGAAAGAGAGCAGCAAAAGAAGCCCTCAGGCACCAGAAGAAAGGAAATAATAAAGATTAGAGCAGAAATAAATGAAATAGAGAATAGAAAAACAATTGAAGAAATCAAGAGCAAAAGATGGTTCTTTGAAAAGATCAACAAAATTGATAAACCATTGGCCAAACTGATGAAAGAAAAACAGGAGAGTAAGCAAATAACCTGAATAAGAAATGAGATGGACAATATCACAACAGAGCCAATTGACATTAAAAGGATCATAATAGTATATATGAAAACCTGTACTCCAACAAATTTGAAAACCTAGAGGAAATGGACAAATTTCTAGAAACACACTACCTGCCTAAACTAACACAAACTGAGGTAGAAAAACCAAACAAACCTGTAACAAAAGAAGAGATTGAAGTGGTCATAAAAAAACTCCCAACAATAAAAAGCCCTGGCCCTGACGGCTTCACTAGAGAATTCTACAAAACTTTCAGAAAAGAGTTAACACCATTACTACTAAAGGTATTTCAGAGCATAGAAAAAGTTATAATACTCTCAAACTCATTCTATGAAGCCAGCATAACCCTGATACCAAAACCAGGTAAAGACACCACAAAAAAAAGAAAATTACAGACAAATATCCCTCATGAACACAGATGCAAAAATCTTCAACAAAATTCTAGCCAGTAGAATTCAACAATATATCCGAAAAATTATTCAACATGACCAAGTGGGATTCATACCTGGTTCCACATTAGAAAAACAGTCAATGTAATCCATCACATAAATATAACAAAAGACAAGAACCACATGATCTTATCAAT